ATTAAGGCCTATCAGGAAGGCACGGAACGCACTAGCCTCGTGCGGAAGGAAGCATGTCAAAAGTCACTGGGTCTGGGCCGCGTGATCTGGGGGCGTGAGACACAAGGCCCATTGTGGGTGGGCGGGCGCAGCCCACATTGCCGGGAGAGGGGCGGTGGCGACGACTGGGCCGTGCTGGGCCACGCTGCCCTCTCAGGGCCATGGGCAGAGACTCCCAGTCCCGGGTGTGAACACGAACTTCCCCTGGGAAAGCTGACCCGGCTGCGGGGCCACCAAGGCCCGGAGGAGCACACAACCGTGGTGCTGGGCAGCCGGCCAAGGCCAGCTGGCGAGGAGGGAGGTCTGGGCAAGGTACTGCCAACCTCCGGGGAGGGGACAACCCTCTGGGCCCAGCCCCTAGCGCTTGCCCCTTGAGAAAATGAGATGAGGAGGAGGAGGAAGCTGACGAATGAGAGTGGCGTCTCCCAGCGCAGAGATTAATGAGCAACTTTATTGGGCTGGTGGAGGGGGATCAGGGCCAGAATGTGGGGATGGCGCACGGCTGTTCCTGCGGCCGTGGCTGGGCCGGCTGTAGGGATGTTGGGCCCGACGTCTCAAGTGGTAACGGTTTTGCGTGCGGTCAGGCCCAGGGGAGCCGGGGCGGCTGCTGCCCTAAAGTGCTGGGGAGCTGCTGCAGGAGGACCCTGATGACTCCTGGCCCCTGCTGCTGCTGGTCTCTTGTTCCAGCGAGCTCTCAGGGCTTGACTCTGGCCTACTGCTCCCATCACAAACTCTTTTGGGCTGGCTGGAGGGATCAACGCTGGAAGCCCGACGCTTCAAGCAAGAGCGGTCCTGTACTTCTTGCCCGGGCCCAGGGTGGCTGGTGCGGCTGCTGCCCTGAAGTGGCAGGGAACCGCTGGAGGACCTCGATGGCATGTGGCTGGAGGTGCTGGGCCCGGCGGTGTCTGATCCCAGAGATCCATCAGACTGCTCTGATGGCCCTTGGCTTGGGATGCTGGGGCCGGAGGTCTCTGGTGCCACAGATCCTAGAGACTGCCCCGATGGCAGCTGGCTGGAGGTGCTGGGGCTGGCAGTCTCTGATCCCCGAGCTACCGAAGACTGCTCTGATGGCACCTGGCTTGGGGTTCTGGGTCCGGAGGTCTCGGGCGACAGGGAGACACAGGAAGGCCTTGATTCTGACTGGTTGTCAGGGCTGAGGCCAGCGAGCTCCAGGCTGGAGGCTGTAAGGAGATGCAGGAAGGTCAAGGGCACGGCCCCCCGCTCAGGCCCGGGGCAGGATGGGCCAGAGTGGTGCCCCCGGCCTTCCTGGAGCAGAGAGGCTCTGCCAAGCCCACCCTGTGCACCCCCGCTGCCAGGCCTTGCCTGGCCCCAGCCCAGGCCCACGTGGGTGCTTTGCTTCTTACCGGTGCGCGGGCCAGCACAGCTGTTGCACTCCCAGCTCCGCATGCTGCTCTCCAAGTGGGAGCAGCGCCTGTGGGTGCCCTTGCCAGCGCAGGAGCAGCATAGGAGCAGTTGCCAGGGCCTGGGGAAGCAAACAGGTTCACAGTTCTGAGGACAAAGTGATGGCAACATGGGATTGTCCAGCTGAGCTCTTGTTCTCAGGCCTTCTGCTTCGAGCCCTTGGCGAGGCATAGATCCCGTGCAGAGCACCCGGGGGGGGCAGATTTGGCTACTTACCCCTCCTCCTCCTCTGCCTGCTCCCTGCCTCCTGGACAAAGGCACTCGCTGGCATCGCAGCAGCCATGCCTCTTCTCACCTAGCTCTGCATATGCCTCCTGGTTCTCCCATGTTGGGTCTCTGATGGAGAAAGGAAAATTGCTAAGCCCCTGCTGCCCCGGCATAAGGCAGATGCAGGGCGTCCCTGCCCTTTCCCCGCTGCGCTGTTTCCACCTCCTCTGTAAAGCTGAAGCGCAGACTCACGGGACAGCAGAGGGCCGGGACAGCTGGGGCAGTCCCGGGCACACCACAGCGCTTGCACCCTCCTGTCTCGTGTGCCAGGCAGAGGGACACTGACCTGAAAGGGACTCGGATTCCCATGTTGACCATTTCCTGCATAAATTCCCATGTGTCCCTGCAGAGCGGGCACTGGAAGCAAGAAACGCCCGCGCTCGCAGCCTGTCCCTGCAGGAGAAACATAAGGGGCGAGCGTGAGGAGGTCCTGGGACTGCTGAGTGCTTGCTGTGCCCTGGGGTGGTGGAAGCGGCTCCTACCTGGATGCAGCCCCTGTGGAACCAGGCGCTTTTGCATGCTGGGCACACCATGGCGGTGTAGGAGATCCTGTCCCCCACAGGTTCCAGGCAGATGAGGCAGGTGGTGTCCTGCTGCGGTTCCACCTCCACTGCCTGCTGTGGGCGGTGCTCGGAGCAGAAGGACCTGGGGGGAAGACGGAAGGGGTGGGTGGGGAGAGAAGCGCTGGGCCCTTCCCCGGTGTCGGCGAGGAGGGGAGAGGAGGTACCTGTACTCAGGGACGAAGCGGGTGACGCATTCACCCTTCACAGCACAGGGCAGGTGGAAGCTGCGCCGGCAGCCCCTCGTACGGCAGGTGATGGTGGCCCCTCTCTCGCCACAGACGAAGCATTGCTGGAAAGAGCACAGCAGCCTCCATCAGCGGTAGCCCTAGGGCCTCCCCAGCCCGCCCCACACCTCAAAAGGCCGCGCCTGGGTCACAGCCCGCAGATCGGCCTGGCGGACGAGGCTCCTGTGCCGGAGCCTCTGTGGAGCTGCTGGGAGCAAGACTGCTGTCCCAGGGCTGGTGGGAAGGGCTGGCTGGGATTTCTTTCTTGGGCTCTGGGCTAAGCTCCGGCAGACCCCCTCCTGCAAAAATCTCTCTGTTCTTGTCAGGTCCTCACCTTCCGTGCTGCCCGCTTGATCATGCCACGAATATCCTGGAGGCGAAACCCCATGAGTCCTACTGTCATGCTCCGTTGCCGAAAACGCTTGTTGGCAAGCAGCTGCAGAAGAGAAAAGATGAGGAGCTGATGAGGAGAGTGTGGGGCAGGGACTGCCTGTCGGAAAGCTGGAGGGATCCCTAGAGGAACTCACCAGACAAAACTGATGGACACAGAGCCCTCTCCTCTCCAGTTTATTCCCACAGATGACCGGGTCAGCCTCTACTCGGTGGCACAGCATGCATGCTGGAGGGGAGAGAGCGAATGGCATCTGAATGAGCATCACTGTGGGGCTGGGGGAAGCACCCTCCCCTGACGAAAGTTTGCCCCCAAGGGCCTGCTCTCTCCCTGCCTGGCTGGCTGATGGGCAGAGCTGGGGGCCTTGGAGAGGAAGGGGCCGTTGCAGGCAGGGCTGTCCCAGCGGGTGCCCTCTGGCCACCTGCTTGCTGCAGAAAGGAGGGCCCTTGCCCCGGGGCGGTTGGGGAGCTCCTGCTTCCCTCTCCCCCCCCCCGCCACCCCTTTCAGCCCCATGCTGACCACCCTGACAAGCCCTGTGCCAGGCTGCGGGAGGGGTACTGGGCTCTCACCCTGCTCCCTCAAGTCGGGGGCCTCCTGCTTCCTTGAAGACATGGCGCACATCGACGCTAAGCGTTCGTTCGTGTCTCCTCCAAACGCTCCTCTGCCGACTCTGAGGGAGAAAAGCCAGATGTGGCTGAGCTTGCAGCACAGGCCCAGAGCCCCAAGGCGTGGGGTCCCCTCCTCCCTCGGCACCCCGTGCAAGCCCCATCCCTCCCCTGCTCTCTCCTCACCTCGCCAGGTTGCACTGACGCACGGCCTGAGCCCTGCGCTCCTTTATGTGCTCTGGCCCCCGCGGGTCACAACAGCGCTTTGTGACATCAGCACTTTGTGTCATCAGCACCCCTGGCCTGCGTGCACCCCAAACATAGGCAGGGACGCCCTTGGCAACCCGCCACCCACTCTGAGGCGGCCACCGCCTCGGCCGGGTGGCTGTGAAGTGCCAAGGCCGGAGACCGAGCACTCGGCACCCACGTAAGCGGGGCGGCTGCTGCTACAGCAAGTGTAGAGTGAGTCAAATGCCATGGATTAGTGGTCCGCTTGGTAGTGTCAGGCTACCGGTTGGACTGGATGATCTTAAGGGTCTTTTC